AGTAACAATTGAACCCGCAATCGATGCACTCCCTCCACCATATTCAACCCTCTCATGATTTCTGGGGTCTTTTTTCATCCCACGGGATGGATATATTAAAAGAACTGAAATTATCGACGGGGAGACTTCCCCTCATTTGTTACAGCCTCGAAGAAGCAATCAGAGGCTTATTGCTTACGTTGTGCACTGCCCATTAATGATAATCGTCTTATCTGACTCTCGCTGTCGCCATGAATCTTATCGAATGTATTTACAAACATAATGAGGCGAAAAGAGATCCCAAAAAGCCGTCACGTCAGTTTCGAGCCGACAGCAAGGTAGGGTTTAGCTTGTTGTCTCACTCCAGATGTAAGATAATGGCAGTGCAACGGATTCCGTCTTCGCTGCCGACCAGGTAATACTCTGTGACTTGATCGGGGTGTACGACCTTCACCTTCTTTGGGTCGATCCGGAGTTCCAGCACGACCATCACCTGCTTCGAGCCGAATGAGAATTTCTTCTGCTGGGCATACAGTGCTGCGACTCCGAATTGCGGCGAGGCATAGATCCCAGGTCCGTACATCTGTCTCACGGATTTTTCCATCTTGAAACCCTCACTGATGATGCCTGTCATACCTTCGAGGTTGGTACCATGAAACGCCTTCCGCCACGTACTCAGCCACTGGTCATTCCGTCCGTATCGCGATGTGTCCAACCTGATCTGCGTCCAGGGTAGACTTGCCAAGTGCACGGTTTTTTGATGGTCGAGCGCTGCTTCCTCTTTTTGGATGTCTATTCCAAAGTTTTTCAGAACCGCCTGAGAGAGACTGAACACAAATTGGGGATCCATCCCACAAACCACAGACAGAGCGATTTCGTCTCCAACCCAATAGTTTGGCTGCGATCAAGTTATTCCACTTTAGCACGGTTCACAGCTTGACTTCTCATCTCCCAACAGGACTCACCGGGCCTTTATCCACCGAGAGTTCATGGTCGCCTTCAAATGGCCACTTTCTAATCTAGATAAGGATAATGCCTTATCATCAAAAAGATTACGACCCTACCACCTCACTACCATTTCACTATTAGCTCCGAAATCCTTTCCTGGCCAAAGGATGATGAGGTATTTCGTTTCGCCAATGCAGATCTCAACATTGTTTCAGTATAAAAACGAATTTTAGCAGAAGGGATCAAGGGTTTTTGCATGGTACATCACAGTAGAATGTGGGTCCAAAATTAATATGAAAGGTCATCGGGTCAGGTCTATTGTCAACTTTGAAAATAAAAATATTGAGTTTGCACATCTACGAACAATTATAAAACAAATGAACAATCGATGATGAAAATCGGTTGAGAAACCCGGGAGGAATTCACCGGAAAATCTGGCCACACATATATCAGCAGATACGCATTTAGATGAGGCCGTTCCACGCAGTTTCCGGGAGGAAAACCGGCCCTGGCTCCGAACGAGAAAGAATATTCAAAAATCCAGTTTCCGAGGGATAAAGGGTTCGTTGGAGAACTCGTCGGTGGTCGAAGGGGACCACCGGGTCCAATTCCACCTCTGGCACGGAATGCCTTGAACGCAGGGGAAGGGCAGGTGTGAAGGGGAGCCGGTTCCTCCAGGGCCCCTCCACACTAAATGAATACGACTATTGCCCTCATTCCTTCCTCTCTCCCCCTCTCTGTCTCTGTCTCTCTCTAACCAGTCTTTCCACGGTCTCCTTCTCCGTCGGAAGTGAAAAGCCTCCGATTCGATGAAGCACTCGTGAGTCCGATCTTCGATACCTAAGCACTAAAAAAGCTCAAGTACAGTAGGGTGAAGTTCGTAGACGGCGCCTATTCGTGGACCCTTCCACGTTTCCCGCATTCTTATGAAGCAAACGCATGAAATTAGTCACCTCGACTACTCGGTTTAACCGATTCCAGCGTATCCGGCACTAAGGTCCGGCTTGGATTATCCGAGACGGCAGAATATGCTGAACCTTCCATAATTTGGACAACCCCCCCCCGCAACGAACCGACAAGCCGGCGTGGACCCGTTTCTTTCCCCTCGGTTTATATTTTAGTGTGAGAAATCCGGGCGTTGAAGCATTCGTAGATCATCTCACACTACTTCCGCGGCAGCGCTTCCCGGCTCAGAGATGGGCCGCGGCAGATTTTCCCCCAAGATCGGAAGGCGATTCGATCGTTTCATCTTTCAACCTTAGAAGTGACAGAAGGAGCACGGTGACCTAGCAATGTAGAATTCATCGCCGGTTGCACTTCGAGGGTTAATACAGGCGAAGTGGGGTTTCGAAACATCCTGGTGTATCTTTATAATAAAGTATACAATGGTACGTGGCTTGTTTAGCCGACGAAGGACAAATGAACGTAAGCGCATTATTGTTTGGGTCTTCGTGTTCATTCGGCATCAATACCCCCGTCCTCTCTGTATATGACATCAAGGTTAACAAAGCACGAAGCACAAAAGCCATTCTTTGCAACTTACACAGGGAAATTTCCCTCGACCACCTCAGAAACCGTTGGAAATTTTAAGAGTTACCAGTTCTTCCATGAAACTCTAAACAAATTGACATTTTATTTTTCTCTCCGTTGGTAACGGATATAAGAATCTTCAAAAATTTCTAAGAAAAATTTCGTTAAAACCCATCAGTCCACTTTTTTTCAGTTTAATTTTTCGGATTTTTTTTTGATCCAACGAAACTGAGAGAAAAAATATAATCTTCCCTCAAAAGTATCTGTTTAATGGCTGAATATAGGAAAAATCCTACACTTGAAATGTGTCTCCTTAGCGTAGATTATAGGAGGGAAGTATTTCAAAGTGCATTCTCCACCCTTTCAAAAAGCGACACAAGGAAAGATTTAACGTTAGGCACACATAAAATGAAAGAAGTAATGATTTAGATGAAAATCAAGACTTTTGACCCCAAATGTGACGTATTTCGATGCGGACGTACTTTATATGTGTTTCCCAGTTCGAAAAAATGAATGAATACCTATCCGAGGTAATGAGGCGCCGAAGGCGCGACCATAGCGAGTTTGTTAGCCCGTAGAGCAAGCAAACTCGCTAGTATGTAATAAAAGTAGAAATTCACTCAGTAATCTATTAGGAACTTCATTTCCAAGTTTAAATTTTCATGCGCCCTTAGCTTTGCTGAATTAGAAAATTTGAGAAAGTACGCCTTTTGCAAAATATGTTGCCTTGAGCCGTTTTAACCGAAAAGTACCTTCTATTTTTACCGATATCCATTCTCAGTGAACTACATGCCGACAAAGTTACGATATTATACGTTTGCCTTGTTCACTGGTGAAAAAACATGTTAGGAATAGTCGACCCACCAAAACCTTTGCCCGGAGGGGATGAACCATGAAAACTGAATAATCCCTCAGCTCTATAAGATCATGTTATTTATACGTGTCCCAAGTTTCACCTTTCCATTTCTGTGCAATTCGCCACAATGATTTTTCCCCCAAGACATTGTCCCTCGAAAGAATTCCCCCCGGGGAATGTATCGAGACTTAACATTTTTTATTTTGTCACATTTAATTAAGTCTTTCTTGTATTTGAAATGTGTGAGAGGATTTGACCACGTATATGAGGCTTCTGGATAAACTACATGTCCTGGTTTCAGAGGTGTAGTGGTAGCATCCTTGTCTCAGTAGTCACATTCATGCAAAGTTTCAGCTTTCCATGTTCTTCAGTTTGACTGATACAAAAAAAATAGCTGAAAACATCTCCCTTTGAAATTTGTGCCCCGGGGCGTTTACTTCCAAAGTCTGAATTTTTATGCAGCATCCCAATAGGTAGTTATGTACCAAGATGCATCTTCCCGCACTAGCTCATTACGTCAGGATAATAAAAAAAATAGTTGGAAATGTCGGCCCCAAAAGATATCCCTTAGTGCATAAACTAAAATTTTGCATTTTTCCTGAACTCATCGACTCGGTAGGCAAGTACATGCCAGGATTTAGCTTTCCATGTCTCTCCGTTTTACTCAAGCAAAAATAATGATCTTGAGGGGGAATGAGTTAAGGGACACAGAAGGCAAAAGAAGTCCAAGGAGTGGCCGGGAATCGAATCCGGATCTCCCTATTGCTGGTCATAAATGCTACCACTACACCTCTGAAACCAGGACATGTAGTTTATCCAGAAGCCTCATATACGTGGTCAAATCCTCTCACACATTTCAAATACAAGAAAGACTTAATTAAATGTGACAAAATAATAAATGTTGCTATAGACAGTCCTTATCTTTCGAGTTCCTTAGCCGAGGCATGGCGCATTCCCCTCCTCCCCTGAATTGCAATACCATACAATATGTTAGCTCTATAAAAAAAATGAATGATCGTTCTCACCTGTAATATGGTGTACTGGCTTTACATATGAACGTCGAACTCATTCTATTTTTTAAAACTGTTTTTCATGGTGCCTAATCCTGCATTTAGCCAAATATGTTGGAGCTTAGAGCTGACTCTTATTTTCGTTTTTATTTACAGGTCATTTTCATATTAATTCTCAGACGTCATGCGAGAGCCATTGAAAATTGCATTAGCTTTGAGTCTCCTGCTCATCGCTGGTGTGGAGTTATCAAATGGGCGCCAGTCTCATTTTCCCAACAGCAACTCGAGTCATGGGAGCCAGCATGAAATTGTTTTGCTTACTAATAGTGACAACGATCCAGGAAAGGCAATGCGACAGTTAACCTACCAGATTGGCTCGATTCAGTGGATCGACCATATTAGTGGGAATCCTATTCACGAAGATTTTCATGGTAGAACAAAACGTTCCGCCCTTTGCAAAGGGTCAAGCCTTCTTGCCGACGCTGGGGCTGGTGAGTGGCTGCATGAAGCCCAATCATTCGATTTTTTTTCATTTGATATTTATTAATGAATGTCATCCTTGCAACTTCTTCAGCGTGGAAAATTCTGACTATTGAATTCCCATATATCCTAATTGCGAACATAATCGATATCTCATTATTGTGTCGACCTTCAATGAGACTTGAGTCCAAAGGAAAATGAACATATTTATTAAGATTCATTACCTTGCAGGTGCGGGAATAGGGTCAGCGGGTGGTCCAATTGGAGCCGGGGTCGGAGCAGTTTTGGGGGGCATATTTGGACTGATAAAATTAGCCGCGGGTGAGGATGGCTGCGATGAGTCGAATGATTTTGCAAAGGAATTGAATGGCGTCCAGAACAAGTTGGAAGACGTCAGTAAAAAAATTGATGACGTTGGGAACAATGTCCAAATCGGAAGAAAGGAAAATAAAATCAACCACAGGATCACCCAAGACCTCGTGCAAGTGTCAAGAGGAGAAAATCAGATAAACTTCGAAATCAACAGAGGCTTGATCAACCAGGGCAGAGTTGAGAATAGCATCAACTTCGCCATCAACCGCGGTTTGATACAGCAAGGAAGGCAAGAAAACTTGGTTAACTTCGCCAGAACTCAGGGTCTTGTCAATCAAGGAAGAGTTGAGAATCAGATTAATTTTCAAAAGACCCAAGGGTTGATAAATCAGGGAAGAGTGGAGAATTTCATGAACTTCAAGGAGACTCAGGGCTTGATTAACCAAGGAAGGCACGAAAACCTTATGAATTTCGCCCTGACCCAAGGACTCGTCAATCAAGGGAGAGCAGAGAACCAAGTTAACTTTGCCATAACAAGAAGTCTTATAAATCGTGGTAGGGAAGAGAACCAAATCAATTTCAGGGTAACTCAAGGACTAATCAATCAAGGAAGGACTGAGAACTTGATCAACTTTGGCATCACGCAAGACCTCATCAACCAGGGTCGATGGGAAAACTTGATGAATTTCAAAGCCATTCAGGGATCTGTAGCACAACTGAGGGATGACACCTTGAAAGGCTTCTCCTTCCTGTCAAAACAGGCTGACAGAAATCTTGAAGCTATCACAATAGCTCGACTAGAAGTGATGCAGGGGTTTAATGGCGCCTATAAACTCCTGGACAGAAACTTCGATGCGACAAATGCTGGTCGCGTAGAGAATCTGAAGAACTTCGAAATCACAAAGAACTTGATCAACCGAATAGGAGACGCTGTAATTCGCAATCAAGCACAAGCAATGGCTGAGCGTATGCTATTCTACACATCAACAGTGAACCTCATCAGAGAATCCACCAATGAAACAATCAGTGCAATAGATGACGCCAAGCAAAAAATTTTGAGATCCATTGAAAAAAGCAGGGTGGAGCCCATACTATCCAAACTAACTACCTTTTTAGCGTATTTTAATGGTGAATTGGAGGGAATTAAATCATCCAACATGAAGCAAATTTTGGCAAAGTTTCAAGAACCAAATGGACTCCTATTTTACCTGACAGAGTCCAGGACACCAAGGGCGGTGAACAGCCTTCACTCCCTTCTCTCGGACATCATCAATCAAGGTCTCGCTATTCCGAAGAGCTCTGAGGATGAGTTGGCATTGATTACTCTGGATGCTCTCTTCACCGGCACTCAAACATATGTCTCGGTCCTTGCGTTTCTGATGGAAGCCTACTCGTTCCTTGCTGATCATTACTATCAGGAGATGGATGTTAAACAATTTCATTCTCACATAACATTGATCAATGTGAGATACAATGATTTCAAAAGGTCACTGAATGATGGCATAATTGATCAAGTTGCGGACATTCTTCTCCGAGTCGAGAGAACCGGATTTGTAGATGGGGACACGTTGTTCTCAAAGCGACGCCAGAACCTGGAAGCATTGAGGGAGGGCATCATAAGCTTTGATGCTACTTTAAAGGATCTTCAAACCGAACCAGCAAAGCTACAGAGAAAGCCCGAGTTTCCGCCTTTCAAAGACAATGTTCATGGACCCTGGAAACCAGGAAGGGCAGTGAGCTACGCAATCCAATATGAATTCAATAACGTTTTGTCTAAAATTGGAGAATTCACAGAAGAATTTATTCTTGCGGAAGGCATGGCCAATCCTTTAATACACGTCCCGTCAGCTCCAGCTAGAGTAACAAGTCGTTTGGTTTTCCGAAAATTTGACGACGAAAATCCAGAATATGTTGGAGAAATCGGAGGCAACAAACCAACTTCCTTCCGGGACATTGACAAGGACCTCTTCAATGCAGCTGGGAGTCTCAATGAGGCTCTTGCTGCGGTCGAAGTAAGAAAATTATTGGATTCTGGAGCAAACATTTCAGCCACATTTGAAGATGAGATGACTGCGCTGCACAAAGCATCTGCAGCTGGAAATAGTCGAATTGTGGAGATAATTATTAAAGCTGGAGCCGACTTGAACGCGCCTGATCTTCAAGGTCACAAACCAATTCATCATGCTGCAGAAGCTGGGTATGTTGAAACTGTGAGAATGCTTTTATCCTTGGGTGCCGACGCGAACTCCAAGACAGGAGATGATCTCACTCCTTTGCACATTGCTGCTCTTTATGGCAATGGAGATGTTTTACAATACCTCTTGACTTTGAAGGATATTAATGCAAATGCCATCACGAAGGACACATTTACAGCTATACATTTGAGTGTTATGGCAGGGCATATTTCTGCGACAGGCATCTTGGCTGATAATGATGGTGTGAATGTCAACGCACCAGATAGCAATTTTTTCAGTCCACTCCATCATGCAGTGGCTACTGAGAATAAAGAAATTTTGAAATTATTACTCCCAAATGCAAGAATAAATGCCAATGCAAAAACCTCGGATGATTTGACTGCGCTCCATTTGGCTGCCATATCAGGCAATAAAGACATTGTGGACATGCTTTTGACTCAAGGCAACGTCAACATTTGGACACAAAGTGTTGGTGGTTACACAGCATTGCACATGGCTGCAGCCAACGGACATTCTCAAATCGTACAGTCACTCCTCGGCACGTTGTCTACGCAGTCACCAAATTTGATCAATTCCTTATCTGCTGAAAAATGGACTCCCCTTCACTTGGCCATAGCTTTCAAGCACGATCGAGCCATTACTCAGCTTCTCTTGCACTCCAACGTAGACATCAAGGTGAAGGCAGAAGGTGGCTTGACTCCACTGCATTTAGCTGCTGGAACAGACCAGCCACAAGTTGTGTCTAAACTGATACTATTAGGAGCCAATTTGGAAGAACAGTCGGATCTTGGCTTGAGAGCAATACATTATGCTGCCTGGTACGGTAGAAAGAATGCTGCATCCGTTTTACTTCGACAAGCTGACATCAATGCCAAGACACAGTTTGCTCTCACCCCACTCCACTTAGCTGTCATTGGTAATCATATCAGCATTGTTGAACAACTGACAGCAAGACCGAATCTGCAAATTCACAGTGCTGCCGAAAATGGGGTCACTGCCCTGCATTTTGCTGCTGTTGGTGGGAAGGATGCCATCTTGGTTCACCTTTTGCAGCATGGAGCTGAAGTGAATGCAAAGGACAGATTTGGGAAGACCGCACTGGACATGGCAATTGAGAATGAACAAAAGTCGACATCCAATCTGCTTAAGCTACATGGGGGAAAATCATCAATATGCTTACAAATTGGTGACAGCAATGCGAAAAATAAGGAAGGCTTTACATTGCTTCAAGTTGCAGCACAAAAAGGCGATCTTGGCAGAGTCCTAGAACTGGTATCTTGTGGTGCTAAAGTAGATGCATTGAGCAGTATTGGCAGCAATGCATTGCACGAAGCTGCGTATTTTGGCAGAAGTGATGTTGTTGCCGCTCTTATTGATTCTGGAATCGATGCGAATGCGAAAAAAACTGATGGCTGGGCAGCCATTCATTTAAGTTGTCTAGCGAGCGATCCGGTGCCAACACTGAGGATATTATTGCGGAAAGGAGTCGATGTAAATTCGGTAACGGATGACGGCAAGACTGCATTGGATATCGCGATCGAGGAAAGAAACTCTCGTGCCGAAGCCTTTCTTCGGTCCCAGGGAGCAAAAACTGCCATTTGCGTCCATCCTGAGACCCTGGATCTGCGAGATGACGAAGGGCTGACGAAGCTCCATAGAGCAGCGCGTGATGGAAGAACAACCGATGTGAAAAACTTGATTTCCTGCGGTGCTAATGTTCATGTCCTTAGCCACATAGGCAGTACAGCTCTTCATGAAGCTGCTTACTATGGAAGGGATGAAGTAATCGTTGAGTTGCTGAAGGCAGGGGCGAAGATCAACCAGCGGAAGGAGACAGTAAATGGCTGGGCTGCAATTCACCTAGCATCACTCAATGGGCACTGGAATACAGTGAACCTTTTGCTGAAAAGTGGAGCTGACATAAATCTGACTACCTTGGACAGACAAACAGCCATTGATGTTGCTGTAAATAATGGACAGGAGAAAATTACCAGCTTGCTGAAGCAACATGGCGGTCGTGCCTTTGACTGCATTGGATTAAATAATCTCAATGAGAAGGACTCAAATGGCTGGACTTCCCTTCACTATGCAGTCCACGAGGGGAATGGTGAAAAGGTTAAGGTGCTTCTGAAATGTGGCGCTTCACAAAACATCTTTAGTTCCATCGGCAGTCTTCCCATCCATGAGGCTGCATTTGGAGGATATGAAGGTATTGTCAGAGAGCTCCTTTCTGCAGGAGTTGATCCCAACGTGCCGAAGAAAGATGGGGCGACCGCACTCCACCTGGCTGCCGTTGAAGGCAAAGCGTCAGTTATTAAGGCACTCCTTGAGAAAGGGGCTAATGCAAACATCAAGTCTCCTGGAGGCCTGACCCCTTTGGACTATGCTATTGGTAATGGGCACAATGATGCGGCAAATGTTCTGAGGTCATATGGTGGAATTCATGGCTGAAAAAAATCATTTTCACATCTCAGTTAGCACCACGTTGTTACGTTCATTGAGCTCTGAATAAAGTAATTTATTTGTTGACTAAATCTTGTTATATATTTCTAGTCATGTCGCGTGGGCCATATTCGAATATATATTTCCAAAATATGCTTTGTTGATGAAGTTTTTATATTTGCTTACCCCGTTTCATTAAAAAATACGCCTATGATTGTCGGAGTGCGTTGACGTTGTCCTACACAACTTGAAAAATATCCCAAATCAATGTGGAAATACTCCCTCTATTAATACTTGATGGATCTCGCATCCGGCCCGCTAACTCAGGAAAAAATGGAACTCCGTTTCCTATGACAAAGCAATGAGGGAATTACTTTCTTTTTCTCTAATCCCTTTTACAGATCCAACGACCGTAAAGAGAAAATCAAAAGAGAAAAACGAAAGAACGAGAAGCATACTTAACGCCACAACACAAAGAACAGAAAGTCACGCCACCAGGAAAAAATGTCTCTTCGAGGAGTTGGAAGAATTCACACATTAACTCTTGGGATGAGATGAACCAAGTCCCTAAAACATCCATCCCATTAGCCCCGGTCCACCCATCTCGTTACTCTTCGCTGTTCCAACTGTCGCTCTCTCGATCTCGAAGAACAGGGAAAACACATTTTAATGAGAAGGAAAACGGGAGACTTCGATAAACTCACTTCCTGGAAAATGGTCTGTATTGTTAACACGCACAAATTTTTATCGTAGTATTATCTGACTCCGTTTGACTCCTTCACTTCATAATTGTCCATTTCCTAATTGAAATTTTCATGAGACTCCTTTATATGGTAGTCCGGTTAAATATATGTAGCGTGAACGATCCTGACCGCTAGTTTAGCCGAGTTAGAAAAATGTTTATGTGTGTGACAGCTCCACAGGCCAATCGCGACGACATATGCACTTCGTGTGCATATGTCGTCAAAGATTTGGTCGTCATTTGGGGATGAGGTATTTCTTCCTCATCGTTGTATCATCAGTGGATGTGCCTTAGCGAATCAAAATAAAGATTGGGCTCCGAAAATGTGGCTACTTACAAGGAAAATCGGATATTCCCTCTCGTCTCGCCATCTGTACGATGAAGGAGAAGACGAGAGTTGGCGCGGAACTCCTCAGGGAACATCGCTCACAACAGGGTCTTCCGCCTTCGGTCTTCAATTGATGGATTCCATGAGTCCGTGATGAAGTTCGGGTGATTCGGTAATCCGTCGCCACATGCATTCGCGCGAGCTCCGCAGGAAAGCCATCACCACAGTTTCTTCGCGTGGTTCCCATTACTCAAATTTTGGAATCCCAGAATTGCACGATGGCGTGATCTTTTGTCACTGCCTGCATTAGTTATTTTCCGTTGAGAACGCTTGCAAACGACTCGAGGAAGCCGACAGACTCAAGGAGAGAGTTCCTTGCACTTTCCTCTCGTCCTGTAGGATTGACGTGGCGAAATGACCCCAATTCAAACCGGACGACCTCGGTTGCGAAGCGATGGAGGTCTCAAGGTTAATTTATTGCGGGTGCGATCCTGACCACTGGCAAGGCAAGGCGACAGATGCGCGTTTGTGCCTTTGTCGGCGTGCGTGGGCGCGGCAGCTCGGCAGGTCAGTCGCTTCGAAATATGCAACGGAGGCTATAACAAAAACTGTTTCTATCATCAAAGGGTGTGCCCTTCCTAAGTGACATTTTGTGCGTGACGCCATCATCCAAACGACACCAAAAGGAATGGGACCCGTTCTGAAAGAGTTTTTATTGCTTCACTTTATTGCAATCACATCGGTAGACATCGCATCGGTGGATTCAGTGAAATTATAATTTTTGGTCATTGGAAATGGTTGTTAAAATGTTATTTGCGGATCGTGAATGTACTATTGTATTTAGTAAATAGTTGTCGCATGTTTCCTGCCTTCTCATATGTGTCTATGCTGATGTACGCTGCTAACCTTTGATGTTTTTGGAACTACACACGGATGGTCCATTTCCCGTGCTTTCCGTTTCGCATCTGTGCGCCACCATCGAGAAGGAACGCAGCGGAATGTAGCGAAATCACTCAGGCTAGGGTTGGAAGTTGCGCCATGCGCAGCAAGCTGCTTTCAAGGTGCAATCTTTGGTACAAGATGGGATATTACTTCTTTTTCTTTTTGCTTCCTGGGAACCATGGGAGCCCTCAAGGAAGCATTTGATTAGCATTAGGCGTTTCTTAAATAGACGTCATTACTCCGTATTTGCATCGCTAAAAGATGATGAGATCATGACATTTTATCCCCCGAACTTGAATAATGTTGGCAATGATCATGAATAAAACTGAACATTCTCTGTAGGGGCGTCATAGTCCAAAAGTGGGGAAAATCCCCCTCACTCCTTATTAACTACGCAAAGTATTCATTAACTGCATCTCCACTTTGAGACTACAACTTCTCCTAACACATGTCATGTCGACTTCTCCACGCAAGGAATGGCACTGATGGAATTTTGAGAGACGAAGCAAGACCGAATCGCTATTCTTCAAGACAAGAATCGAAATGGAGTTGGAGCATGGAATACTTTCACCCCTAGCAAGCGACGACGGCCTCCATCGCTCGAGTCTGACAACTCCCTCCTCACCCCCCAACACTCCCCGAGGACTTGGACTCAAGCTTGCCCTGCTACAGGTCGGTTTATTTATGGTCTTTGTCATCCAGGTCCGCGTGCTTTAGCGGCAACCCGCAGAGAATATCACTCTTGCCTC